CCCATAGCACAAGAGTTAATAACAAGAATCAACAAATGGGACTTACTTAAACTAAAAAGTTTTTTCTCAGCAAGAGAAACAATAAGAGAGGTAAACAGGGAGCCTACATCATGGGAACAAATTTTTACTCCTCACACTTCAGATAGAGCAATAATATCCAGTGTTCTACTCTTAATGCAGAGCCAAAGCAAAATTCTGCTGCTGTATGTAATTTAGTGTACCTTCATGGACACATTTCACACATTTGCCAAATAGGTGTTTTAGTTAAGAGTTGAGCATGGCAGGCCTGGAGGGAGTGTGGAGACAGGGCTGGTGAGGCCTTTCAGTTTGTATATGCCATTCAACACAACAAAGGCTCCACAACTGGCCAGGCAAAAATCCTTGGAAGGCAGTCTGGTAACCATGTGTAGATTCTCAAATATGCCCTTCGCTGCTCCAAGCTGTTAATCAAAGCATTACTTTTATCCAGTAAACTCTGAAAAGGTGACTATTATTTCATATTCTTGTTATACCATCCTAGTGATGTTTTCACGCCCCTTATAGATTCAGCTTCCCTTCCGGGATACTGCCCTTTCATTTCTATAGCAATGTAGTGTTTGCAATGTGCCACGAATTATGCCAGGTACTATAAATATAAGCAATTAAAATATTGTCCCTGTCCTTAAAGAACTCATACCTTGGGCAGAGAAAAGATGGATAATACAATACCACAGTCATGAAGACTATAGCAATAAAATGGCTGTTACTTGATTTTACTGGTTTCTATGGTTTAGATATGATTTGAGTGTACTCCTCAAAGATTCATGTGCTGAAAGATTTGTCCCCAGTGTGGCAGTGTTGAGGTGGCTGAATCTTTAAGAGGTTTTGTCTAGTGGAAGGTAATCCATAGGGATTGAGGTCTGCCCTCAAAAGGGATTAATATTGGTCTCTTAGAGTGAATTAGTTCTTTTGAGAGCAGGTATTATAAAAGCAAGGTCACCCCACGTTTTGCCCCTTTAGCACATGTCCATTTTACTTTCTGTTTCTCCACCATGCTGTGACTCGGCTGAAGGCCCTTGCTAGGACTACATTGACATAGTGTTTGAATCTTCTGGATATGAGAATTACAAATCAGATAAACCTTTTCACTCTATAAATTACCCAGCTTAAGGTATTTTGCTATAGCAACAGAAGAATAAGATACTAATGAAATGTTCTGAAATTCTTGAAGATGGATACTTTCTAGAAACATAGATCCTTTGAACTTTGCCTCCATCTTTATAAGTTAATTCTTAATTAAGAATTGGAATAAAAAGAGTAGTGTTTTCACCCCTGTGTCTATACTGGAGTAGTGAGTTAGAGACATGGAATCATATACCTATGCTAAACTGAGTTACAACTTTTTTTTGGCATATTCTTTTCCAAATGAGTTTGTCCTTAGAATTTGCTATGTGATAAAAAGGGAATGATTATGGATACTCACGCAGTCCTTGCTACCTGTGTGGCTAAACATACCTGATACAGATGGTTTCTCCCCTTCAAAATAATTGCAAACAAGATTAAAATCGTATTCAGGGGCTATTCCAGCTGGCTTTTGGCTTCTTCTGATGTATGCCCTGAATAAAGCAGTGGCAAAAATTAGATTTAAAATAAAAAACTTACTACGTATACTAGAGCACTTCAAGGTCTTGCTATGTTTGAAATCCCAAGCCCTAGTATTAGAGTGACTGAATGTATCAGCCAGCTCAAGTATACACAAGTTATGAAATACAAAATCTTTAATTAAAAAACAAACTTATTTTGAAGGCACTGCCTCTAGGTACTCCAGAGTATGAATATAGCCAGGCATCTAGAACAAGACAGAAACATAATCCAATAAATTTAAAGTTGGAAAATTCTCATTTATATTACAGGTGAATAGTCCATCTAAATAAAACTATATAATGATATATTCCTCTGGTAAGAAAAAAAAATATTGATCCTTTCTTGGCAAATGGCTATTACCAGAAAGCTGGGAAGAAAGAAAATCTGGAATGTGCCTAAAGCACCAACCTCACAAATCTTTTTTTTTTTTTTTTAAATATTTTATTTATTTTTTAGTTTTTGGCGGACACAACATCTTTGTTTGTATGTGGTGCTGAGGATCGAACCCGGGCCGCACAAATGCCAGGCGAGCGCGCTACCGCTTGAGCCACATCCCCAGCCCACAAATCTTAATTTTTACAACTGGGCCTTTCTGGTTCCACACAATTCCTTAGTAGAGCAGGACCTAGGTTACTAGGCTATAACATTTCACACAGAACCATTAGTTCTGCCTTGTCCTGTGTTACAATAATCACTCAGTGTTGCGGGGGTTCACTTATTTCTCCAAGTTTTAAATCTGTTATTTACCTATAAGGCATCTCAATGTATATGGTTCTGAATATTGGTAGAGAACTTCAATTGCATTTTACAAGCTATTCCACAGATTATTACTAAATGAGAAGACTGTGGCCTCTATAGCCACCACAATTTGCTCACTGACACACAGCTCGAGTTACTAGTTAACCAAGTGTGTAGTTTTGGGAAGCCTGGCTTTTTGTTGGGAAATGTTCTTGAGAAGCTGAGAATTTTGGGGTTATGCTGGCCATATTAAAATATAAAGTACTATATAAAGACTATCTGTTTAGAAACCAGAATAAAGATCTCCCAGGCAGAAAATTCCTTGCTAAAGACAGCCCTAGAAACAATCACATGCCTATTCATGTTAGTAACAATTTAGTGGGGACTTTTCTACCCTTCGACTTACTAAAAAATTGTATGAGCTGATATTTGTCAGGGGTGACTGACAAGGCTAAACATTTGCTGGGCATTGTACAGTCGCTGATTTATTCTCTCATTGTGTCGTGCCCAGAAGACTGCTTCTGCCCAGTAAAGCAGAGAAAGGGTGCAGGCAGCTGATCCAGAGGGCCCTAGCTCTCGCAATGTTCTTTCCTGCACTTTTCAACCTTTTCACCCCAATTAAAGGTCAATATGGCTGCTCAAAAATATTTATTTAAAGGCAGTCATCTCAGCAGGCTGCCAAGTGTGATTATATTGCCACTTCATAGAATTCAATTAAACCCGGGACTGGGGCATCTGTGAATCACTGGAAGCATTGAGTTGTTTTCTGCCTTCTCTTTAAAAAGTTGCCTTTTCCCCGCCGTCATTTATTCATTTCCCAGAGCGCCATCACAACACATACACACGCACGCTTATAATCTCTCTCGGTGGTTCATGGACTTATAGCTCCCGGCTTAATTAAATTCCCTCTAACGACAATCGAAATTGTCAGCGTACGGCACAGCAAACGGCTCACGGGCCTCCCTCTGCGGCCGGCGCTCGGGCTCCGAACCGCAGTTCCGCCAGCGCACGCCGCCGGCTCCCGGGCGCAGACACCCACCTCAGCCTCGCGCCGCCTGCGTCGCCGCTTCCGCCCGAGCTGGCGCTTCCGCCCGCGCGGGCCCCAGCGCCCCGCACTTCCGCCCCGCGCCCGCCGCCCTGCCGGCGGGTCTCGCTTATCTCTGATCCGGCCCGGTCTCCGCTCACAGGGAAAGTGGCGCCTGAGCTTGAAATGAAAATCCACGGAAAAGTGACTCCGCATGTTTGGGAACCATTTAGTAACCAACTTTTTCAAGACTATAGTCCAGACCGTTTTAACTCCTCACTGCATGCGTTCATTCATTGTTTAAAGTAATATTCACTGTCCTCGGGTTCTGAGCTGAACTAGGTTATGGAGAACAGGACAAGCAAAACTGGCAGCCATACCCTCCCCAAACTTAAAATGGTGTAGGCAAGGCAGACATTAGCAGATCACCCTATAAGTAGGTCATGCATTTATTAAACTAAGAGCTTTGGGGGGGGGGTAGGCATATGACCTACGAAATGTTCAAGACGTAGCTTTGGGGCTGCAATGTGAAGGGCCGGGGACCAGGACAGCCTTTACAGAAGACTGAGCGGTACGGCTGAGGCACAAAGAGAATGGGGGAGAGAGTGAGATGGAGCCAGGCCAGGTGGCCAAGCAGAGTCTTTCAAGTTTGTGCGAAGGACAGCTGGAGGATTTTACATTTGACTCTTTCTGCCCTTATGTGGGAGGGAGGTTGGGACTGATACTGATCACTTTTCCTTTCTGAAAGGATCTCAGCTTCAGGAAGGAGATAAGCGTTTAGAATAGGCACGTGGAACAAGAAGGGAAGTCCGGAAATGACTAGTAGTCTGGGTGTCAGGTTTGGTGGCCTGAATGGTGATACCTTAAATAGAGAGAAAATGATGGTTGATAATTTTAGTAATATTCAAAGCTAATATTTATTGATTGCTCATCCAAAGGTTTACACTCATTAACTTGTTTAATCCTGCGAACAATCCTATTAAGTATTATTAGTACCATTTTACAGATGAAGAAATGGAGGCTTATAACTTGCCCAAATTCTCACAGCTTGAAAATGGCAGTTGAAATTCCATGTCATGCTGTCTGCTGCCAATCTTCATGAACTTGCCAGTGTACACTCAATGTGTATTCAGTGACTTTTAAAAAGATTTGGAGCAAACCAAGGTCAGGAATGAATCCCTTAAGCAAACCACACTGATTGTATGCCATGGCTACTGGACACATTTAGGAAGTAGAATTTTCAAGTTCATATTTTATTGCTTCTGCATTTCATAGTAGGTAATAGAGGGGATTTTGTGACTGTAAATAGACTACCTGTGGTTGTTTTTAAGTTGATACATTCTGATAAGTGTATCAGAGTATCAACCTAGGAGTTGATCTTTCTGGGGAAAAAATAATAGTTGCTGATAAGATGTCTTTAAAGAAGTAATCTTGGGTCCAGTTATAAACATGTTGGTAGAACGTGCACAGCTTGCATTTCGTGGAGTGATAGAAAAGCTTCCTAGAAATATAACTCCAGATCAGCTTCCAAATTTTATTTCTTGTTGAAAAATAAATTAGATTTATGAAACCTGATTTCACAAATTGAAGGAGAAGGATGGCTTTGGCAAAGGCTAACAGTGAAGGCTTCTTAGCATTGGTTATGGGAAAATTCCTCTAAGGAGTCAAAAGTTCACTCATTTCCAGAATTTGTGTTTAATTTTTAAGAATTGATTTCTTGGGTTTTAAGTGATGGAACCACCTCTTTATCCTTTCAGTTGAGGGTGGCTGGGAATCCCCCAGGCACTATGGTTCATGCCCAGTCAATCTGGGAGTTCCTGCTGAGGGCCAGTTTTCCAGATGATCAGTTTAACCTCTAGGTCCAGGATTTCCAGTGCTGGGCATAGAGCTTTGCTTGGGAAAATGTCTGGTGTCTGACCAGGAAAAATGATTGTCTCCAAGAAAAAAAAAAAAAGAACAGCCAAAGCAAAATTAATAAACATTTATTCAGTGGTCACAAAATAGAACATTGTTCAGCTTAATTGCTAGATTTAGCATTCATAACAACTTCATCACATTTGAAAACAGTTTTTTAAATGAGATGCTTTCACCAAGTGAGAATTCCTAAATGTAAGTGATACCAGCATTACAGCATACTAGTTACTTTAGACAAATAATGTAAAAGTAAAATCTATAAAAATTCTTTTATAGAAAAATTATTATATGTGGGCTATGTACAGCTTTTAATGTTCAGGTGATGTGAAGATCTTAAAATGGCACTGAGTCTTGTACAATTTTGTTCATTCAGACATGCTTGTCATAGGCATTTGACCTGCATTTTGTCCTCTTAAGTCTGGACCCAATTCTAATTCATGACCTTCGAATCTGGATAGGACTGGAGCAGGAGTCTCTGAATTCTGGACTATTAGTTCAGAACTCACCTGGGTTGAGTTGTTCTCTTACATCTCCGGCCCTGTCAGCTCAGTGGCTGGCTCTGAGTCCAAAAAGCCTACTCTAGAGAATGGCCAGAATGGACAGTCTGGTCTGTAACTCCTGAGATCACTCATGAATACTTTACAGGACTACATTATCTGTTCTTCCAGAGATGACTTGGAACGAACCTTTCTCTTTAAGTCCTCCTTAAGTCTAGACTTGCAGGTTTGGAGAGGGGCAGCTTTATTTCTGCTCCCTTGGCTTTGCCTCTGGGAAAGCAGGAGTAAAGATGTGGCCTTTGATGTCAAGCCTTTCCCTTCAGAATAGCTTAGAAAAATAGCATTTTGGCAGATAGTGACTATCAGGCTGTCTCTATTTTATAGTAACTTGGCTCCAGGCTACCACTCAAACAACATGTGATCTGAACTTTGACTAGGAGGAGCAATCCCAGTAGTTGCCACAATTGGGTGATGTAATTGTGATGAAGGTATTCAGAAACCTAGTAGGATTTTTCTCCTAGTGTTTTTCTGGTATGTAGAGTGAGCATATTTGTTTATCTCATGAATCTGTCATCCCTAGTACTGAAAACTCTACAGCAAACAATCTGTAAGAACTAGATATTGTGTTATGTTTAAGACCATGGAGAAAAACAGTGGCAACCTCCCAAGGAAAAGACATCCTTCTGAATCTGGGATATCATTGGGGTCACTGTGACTCCCCCCAGGCCAACCACTGTAGGAAACAGAATTATAAGCCTCTCCCACCAGGGGAGAATGGACCTCAGAAAACTGATTTCTGTATCCCCTTGACATTTTTAAAACTCCGCTCTAGTGCCAGACATTTAGAGGAGAGTGAAAAAAAATTTCAAAGGAGAAAAATGTTTATTTGTTGTAAGGCTTGCTCACTAATCCACTTATGCCATTTACATTAGTTAAACAACCTTTCTGTGTAAACACCATTAATTATGTAGTGTAAGAGCCAAATAAAAATGCTAAAAAATAAAAGTAATTGTAGAATAAATTAGTATAGCTTGAGTGTCCATACATTATATAGAGGCTGTAGACTTTTATATTTTACTGAGGGAGGTAATATGTGATTTTTCTATTGTTTGAGCTACTAGGATGGAACCAACAGAAATGACATTTTTACAGATGGATACCAAAGCTGTTAAAGTTTAAGCCTATACTGGTGATGAAATTATGTTTTCACAGGAACCTTGATTCACGCCTCTTTATATATCTTAAAAAGACTTTGGGGTGAGCTAGGGGTTCAGTATCTTGTAGATCTCCCCAGAAGGTTTGTTGGAGCAAGACCATTGTTGTCTACTCCAAGTTCAGTACTCTCCATTCTTCTTTCATGTGTAATAACAGAGGATTGCTTGTGTCTGTGCTGAAGGCAATGAATCTTGTACAGCCTGCCAGACACAAGGAAGAAGTGCAAGGACTGAAGCTGTTAAGGAAAAATGGTGTAGGGGACCTTGGAGTATCAACAATATTCATTTGTATCACCCTTTGTAGTATTTCAGGGGTTTTCATACATATTAGTTAAGTTGATCCCTGACAAATTCTGTAAGATAGGTAGGGCATATATTTTTATCAATCCCATTTTTATAGACAAGGAAATTAAAGCTTAGGGAGGGAGATCACAATGAAGCAGGGATTGGAAAGCATTTTCTAACTCCTATCTATATTTTTTCCACTACCTCATTCATAATTCTTTTTAAATGCCAATGAAAAGAAATATGGTTTGGGTTGCAGCAATATTTTGTGCTATGTAGGATCTTTTAAGAATATTTGAGCACATTTATATCATTTCCTCAGGGAAAGTTTTGTTTTACCTAGGGAGGAGGAAATGGATTTGAAATGGGAAAAGTTTTTCATTTTTATGGATTAAACCCATCTGTTATGTTCACTAAGACTGGATGATGGAGGAGGATAGATTTTTTTCACAGCATAAAGAGGAGAGAAGAGTGTAAAGCACCTCCTTGGTTCCCTGGTCAGATCCACATGTATCCAGTGAGCCCTGGTTAGGCAAAACCAGGCAGCTATCAGAGAGAAAAGGAATGCTGTCCTCAAACATACCCTGTCACAGGACAAGAGATGTATCCGGAGAAGAGTCTGAGGAGTTCCCAGATGAGAGGGGAGAACTCAAGTCAGGACCAGTGGGTTTCTTGGCATATGTGACAGAAAAGAATTTCAGCACAAGCCAGAAAAAGGTATGAACGGGTTTATTTAGGAAGGTAGATTGACATTCAAGGGAGAATGCAAGCTGTTTTGAGCATGAGAAGCAGACTTGACTTGGGCTAGGGGTCCAATATTTATAGCAGGGCTGTATCAGGGGCCAGGCTAAAGGTGGATCCAGGGTGGAG